CTGAGGACTAACTGTGCATGGCAGGACTGATTATTTGATTTTTCTTTTTTTAGCTTCTCTTAGCTATTAGGCCAAAGGAAGAAGTAACTTATATTTGTGATCCCATTTTTAAGTCTAATTTTAATATAGTCTTTTTTCATGTTAAGGAGAGTATTTTTTGATGTGATGCTGAAAAAAAGAGTGAGTACTAAGAAGACATCGTCATAGGTGATTTAATGAGTGAGCACACATTTATCGATTTTCAGAAAAAGCCAGAGGAATGCGGTCTTTCCAGTGCCTTCAAATCAGTCTAGCTCCGAGGCTCACGGACCTCCCCCAGGCCTGGGAGCACATTTCACCTTGATAAATGGGAGGAGGATGCAATCTCTTACGCAAAGCATTACGTTAGGAAGAGTCCGCCCTGTGCCCCTGCCATCCGTCACAGGTATAGCCCGTTAGAAGACGCTGTACTTTCCTCTTTTTCATTAGGTGGCGATACCCATACAGACAGGGCTTTAAAGAATGAGGAGTAATAAAGATACAAAACTGTCAGGATTTGGGCCATGGGCCCTGCTGCAGTGCTGTTAGCTGAGTTTAGAATCGCCTTCTCCATCTTGACCACAGCCATGGGAGGTACAGATACCATTATCTGTGCATCACAGATGAGGAAACTGAGGCACAGAAGTTAAGATTTCCAAGCTGGTGAGTGACAGAGGATTGGAATGATTCCCTAAGGTTTCATCCAGGCCTGAAAAAACCTGAGGCATATTCTCCATGAAAAAACACTGTGAAGGAAATCTCAGCGTTACAATCCTACCGTGCAAAGTTTAAATTTGTGAATGAGACCAGGAATACAGCCAGCCGAGTTTGTGGCTGTCATGTGTTCCCAGTCTGTAGAGGTTTCCTGCTAGACATGCAAGCGATAGAAGTCCCCAGAGTGTCACAGTTAAGGACATGCAGGCTGACCCACAAAATAGGAACGCAGTAGACATCAGGGGTGAGGTTACGGTGTGAAGGAGATACATTGCTTGCCTGGAACGATTTTACTACCAAGCAGAGATGCTCCTTGGCTTATGATTGGGTTATGTTCCAGTAAGCCCATCCGAAGGTGAAAATATCCTAAGTTGAAGCTACATGTAATGTATCTAGCCTAGCAACCATTCTCGCTTAGCCCAGCACCTGTAAGGGTGCTCAGAACCCTTACAAGAGTCTGCAGTTGGGCAGAATCATCCGGCAGCATGGCACGCTGGAGAGGGTGGGCTGTGTCCTAGAACATTTGCGTTGCTATTAAGGAATACCTGAAAGAAAAGAGGCTTATTTGACTCACAGTTCAGCAGGCTGTACAAAAAGCATGACGCTAGCGTCTGCTTCTGATGATGGCCTGAGGCTGCATCTGCTCGTGGTGGAAGGAGAAGGGGAGCCCGTGTGTGGGGGTCACATGGCGAGAGCAGAGGTAGGGTGGTGGAGGTGCCAGGCTCTTTCCCTTTTTGTTGTTGTTGTTGTTGTTTTGAGACAGGGTCTTACTCTGTCATCCGGGCTGGAGTGCCGTGATGTGATCATAGCTCACTGCAGCCTCGACCTCCTGGGCTCAAGCAATCCTCCCATCTTAGCCTCCCAAGTAACTGGGACTACTGGGACCACCATGCCCAGCTAATTTTTTAGTTTTACATTTTTTCTAGAGATGATGTTTCATCGTGTTCCCCAGGCTGGTCTCAAACTCCTGGGCTCAAGGCATCCTTCTGCCTCCACCTCCCAAAGTGCTGGGATTACAGGAGTGAGCCACTGTACCTGGCCTAGGTGCTTTTTGACAACTAGCTCTCAGGGGAGCTCTTGCAAGAACTACTGATGTGAGAACTCACTCATTACTGCCAGGATGACCATAAGTCATTAATGAGAGATCCCTCTCCATGACCTAAACACCTCTCACTAGGCCCCACCCCAATATTGGGGATCAAATTTCAACCTGGGGTTTGGAGGGGGTCAAATATTGAAACTACATAGGAGGTTGTTTACACTCACTTTGGGAGGCAGAGGCAGGAGAATCACTTGAGCCCGAGAGTTCAAGACCAGCTTGGGCAACATAGAGAGCTCTCGTCTCTACAAATAATTTTATTTTTTTAATTAGCTGGGCATGGTGGCTCGTGCTTGTAGTCCCAGCTTTTCAGGAGGACTGCTTGAATCCAGCAGGTCAAGGCTGCAGTGAGCCATGATTGCGCCGCTGTACTTCAGCTGAGACCTTGTCTTCAAAAGAGAGAAAGAGCCTCATTGCTGTTGCCTGGCATTACAAGAGAGTGCCATCCCACATACCACTAGCCTGGGAAAAAAATAAAATTCAAAGCACGATTTCTATTGATTACTTATTTCTTTGGCACCATTGTAAGGTCAAAACATTGTAAGTTGAACCATAGTGAATTGGGGGCTCTCTGTAGTCCGTCAGTCTGTGGGGAGGGTGGCACTGGACCTTCTCCTCTGTGGCCCTGAAGACATGAATGGCAGCCTTCTCTGCAGGGTCTGGGGGCCTCTCTCGGCTGCCACAGTCTCCAGGTCTGTGAGGATACAGCTGGCGTTCAAGGAACCGGGGTCTTGGGAGATTGAACTTGAGCAGAGAGGGACATTCGAGGTGACCTCTCTCTTTTCCACGTTCCCCCTTTCCCTGCTGTTGGTCAGGAAAAACCAAGTGCTGGTCTGTGTTCGGCATTGGCTGCAACTTTCCACCTGCTTTGGGCTGTGTTCTCAGCCCGGTGCGAAGAAGTCAGATGCAAAGGCCGGCTTGGAACAAAACGGTGTCCGACTTGGCCATTCTCCTCCAAGTGTCTTGATCAGAAACTTTCGGGATTGAAACACCAATGTCTAATTCTCCTCAAAACACAACGCCCCTCCCTTCACTGCCAGGATAGGACAGGGCCTCCAGAGTCATCTGGGATGCTCTTCTCTCTAAAATGCAGGCGGAATAAGTGACAGAGTGAGAGCAAGATGTAGCCTGGGGCTTTACTTCTAGGAAGATGAGTTTAGTTAAGAGCTCCAGCAAGTTGGAGCAGAGAAGAGGGGAGAAGGCCCATCCGTTCTGATAGCCAATGTATTTGGCGTCGTGGACTTATGCCGTTGGTCGATTTGTATTAAATGTGTTCAATTATGTTCCCAGCCAGAGAGAGAGAGAGAGGATGTAAATGCAACTGTGATATCTGCCCTCCAGTCCAGCCCACATAATCTGCTTCTCCTGGGTGTCTCAGCGCCTGCATGTGTCACATGTCTGAGGATCCCTCCACACTGGGAGGGACTGAGGCCCCTAAACACATGCCAGCATGTCAAGTTGAGTTTTCAGAACCAGCCAAGTAGTTCATGGGTTGGGAAAACAGACTTCAATGGACTTAGCTAAGAGCTGAGAGTGATGTCGCTGGTCTGGACAAGCCTAGTGTGTCCTAAATACTGTAGTGCATGGACGATTAAAGGAATTCTGCAGGGCAGATGAAACTAGAGTCGGACACATCTTAGTATTGACTTCAGAAACTAAGAGCAGTCATGACTCCTTTGTACAAATTCACCCCATCTCTCCTCAGACTCCCCTGGCAAGCTCATCTATCCTAAAAGAAACCTGCCCCCCTTCACCTCCCCCTCCTTTCTTCACTTTCTCTCTCCTAGGCAAATCCTAGCTCTGAGTGATTTAGATGAGCGCTAACCTAAGAGGGAAGCACTAAATGGCTGAGTTACTTAACCTTTCTTAAAAAATTGTTCCTCATTCTTATTAAAACAATTACCATAGCCAAATAGCAGTTGTGAGCTGAAGAGGATCGTTGCTGTGGAGCTCCTAGGAATGTCTGGCAGCCAGAAAGTGCTCTCATGTGGGAGCCACTGACCCCACTCTTCACTCTTTCCAGTGGAGGACTGGAAGCCCGGAAAGGTGCCCTCGTCAAGCGCCTCTGGTCCTCTACCCTCCTAAGGCTCAGCGTGCCCTTGACAAGGCTCAGAGCAGCCCTAGAGCGAGGCCTGGCGTGAGCCGGCGTGGAGCTGAGAATGTGTGTCTCCAGGGAGCCAAGTCCCAGCGTGTTGGATGGGAGACTGAGAGGTACCTTAGGAGATGTGATCTTAGAGAGCTGTGGTGCTGGGTCTCGGGGCTCTGCCAGCCTGTCCAGGGTGTCTGCACACCTCTCTACAGCACTCCTAGGTGCTTCTGTATTTTGGGGGCAGTCTTTGAGGACTTGATGAAAACTGGGGCCCTGTCCGCTGGAAAAATGGACAAATCCACCTAATTCTGCGTTGCTTCAAGAGGAATAGGGCCTTTCCCACTTCGGGTTCTTGGTTGGAATATTCTTCCTCTGGAGGTGGGTGGGCAGTGAGTGTTAGATTCCCGCTCTTGGTAGGTGTCTTTCCCAAGGTTGCTGACAGCAGCCGTACCGCCTGATTTCTCTATTTTCGTGAGAACCCTTGAGGTTGTCTCTGTAGCGCTCAGGGTAAAGGCAGAAGTCCTTAAGATACTTTTTAGAAGTTTAAAAGACAAGGTCTGGCCCCTTGCTGACTTGGTTCTCCGCCATACCTGTACACACCATCTCTCTTCTGCACATGGGCCCTCTTCCAAGCGTCTTCACACTTACCAGGCTCCTTCCTACCCCAGGGCCTTTGCACATGCTCTTTCGCCTCCCCAGAACACTCTTCCTTCCCCTGTTCATTTTCTTAAGGAAACCTTTTCTTACCAGGTCAGTCTCTCCTGTTGGAGGCCTCCATTGTGCTGGCCACCTTGCCCTCCTACCTTTATCCCTGTTACAATTTTGTGTTCATTGGTGATTAGTGACCACCTTTCTGTTCTGCTCCCTGAGGGCAGAAAGTGGGTCTGTCTTGTTCACTGACGTATTCTCAGTCCCTTGCACATAGTAGAGCCCACGGTGAATGAGCAGCTCACCTCTGCAGAGGTGGGAGACGTGACGTCTGTGCAGGAGGCTCTGTGGTTTCCCGTCTTCATCTCTTCTGATCCCCCGTGCCCTCTTCACGTGTTTGCATGGCTAACCCTCCCTCTTCTCTCCCTGGAGGTGTGCTGAGGCTCCTGGAACACGAGGAGGAGTATGTATTCACGCTGCCTAGTGCCTACGCCCGGTCCATTCTCACCATCCCGTGGGTGGAGCTCGGAGGAAAAGTCAGCATCAACTGTGCCAAGACTGGGTACTCGGCCACGGTGATATTCCACACAAAGCCTTTCTATGGAGGGAAAGTCCACAGGTAGGTACTGACTGGAGACGCTCTGGCTTTGTCTTACCATGATGCCCCTCGTTTCCTTTCACCATTAGAAGACTGAGTTTCAGGGATGGGATGAGTTGAAAATCAAGATAAAGTTGTTAAGGTCTTTTACAAGAGACACCTCTTCCTACCTCACATGCAGTTTTTTGGGGTCCTCTCCACTCTGAATTTAAGGTGAAATTTTTGGTGATGCATTTGCAGAACACACACCAGAGAATAAAAGCACTTCTGTTTGTTGGAATAAAGCCTCCCTTCTGAAGCCGCGGGTTGTCGCTTTGCTCTGAAGTGGTTCAGTCTATGAACCCGACATAACCAGACAGCTTCCATTTCACATTAGTTGGCGACACTCTCCTCAATTCTGTGTCATGCACCCATGAGGTCAGGATCATTTCTTTCTTTTGAGAAACTAGGGAAGCCAAAATCAAAGAAATCGAAGGAGAGGTCTGCTCTTTGAGGCAGCACAAAATTGTTTTTACTGCTCCAGCTATAAAAAGAATCCTCTTTCAGCACAGACCACTGCGTAAGCAAGCCACACTGCAAGCAAGCTTCCATCTTTGCTCTTTTTCTTGGAAAGTATTATTCTGCATGGCATTACTGTGAGGGTATCAGAGTCACAGGGGCACGTGGACAGCCTTGGGGGCACCTGGAGCCAGCACACGCCGGCTCGTGAGAGCTGATCTGTGTGGACTTCACGTTCAGTGCTGTCATGTGGGTAGCTGGAATCAGCCATGATGGCCACCACAGAAATTGGCAAATGCTACACATCAGGTGTTCTCCCTTTTGGAGATCCGTGTTCATATTGACCATCATGCCACTAATACCCTTCCCCTGTGCAGCCCAGAAGATGCCTCACACCTGCCTGTGAGCCTCTGCCTTGCCACCTAAGAATTGTGACTGGTTTTAGGCTCGAGGAGAAAAGCCTCCCAGTCTGTTTGAAAACTCTAAATTCAGCCTGAGCCGGGCCTGAAGGAAGTCAGGAGTTTAGATCCTACTGGTGGCTGCTTTGGGGCAGGCATCTCCATTTCTGCTGTTCCTTCAGCTGCGCAGAAAGCTCAAGGAGGGAGAGGGAGCTGGGAGTCTGCTTTCACTTGGAATTCCCACAGGCAAGGCAGGTGAAAGAGAGGTCACAAATCTCCACAGAGGCCCTTTAAGGGAGAGGCTGAGGTCGCTCCCCAGAGCCACTGCTGTGAGTAGGAAGGTACTGATTGGGACCAAGACTCTAGGTCTGCTCAGCCTTCATTCAGGAGCTGTGTGGATGCAGAGCGGATGTTTCCCCTTTTTCCAGCATAAGCTCTGCACCCCATACAAAATGGACCTGATTTAAGGATTTTAAAGCTCACGCTACACTCTTACAGTCTTTTTAGGGTTAAAATGTAGAATTATCAGATGCTATTTTGGAGAAGAGAGAGCATATTCTAGTTTGTTTTTCTTTTTTAAAACAATTTTTTGGGCATAAATTACTGTGGTACAAGGGGGTGTCTGGTTACATGAGAAGCTTCTTGAGTGCTGATTTGTGAGATTTGGGTGCACACATAATCCGAGCTGTAGGTACTGTACCGTATTTGTAGTAGTCTTTTATCCCTTGTCCCCTGCCCACTTACTTTGTTTTTCTTGAATTGCCTGATTTTCATCCCAGTGGTACCTTATACAATATAACCATTGTGTGTTTATAAGAAATTAGCATTGCTGTATTACTATTGACTATATACTGTATTCACATTCACTGGTTTTTCCAATGATGCTTTCTTTTGCTGCTCAAGGATATTAGATCATTTTTTCAGAGTCAGTCTTTGAGCCAAGCTGCAAAAACAATCCTCCTTCCCATTCCTGATTTAAAAAAAAAATCTCTAGAGATGGCTACACCTTTCGAAGTCTCTGTTTTTACCATCTTGCAAAGTGTGTTCATTTGACTCATTAATTCAGGGTTACCGCGGAAGTGAAGCATAATCCAACCAACACCATTGTTTGTAAGGCCCACGGGGAATGGAACGGTACTTTAGAGTTCACCTACAGCAATGGAGAAACCAAAGTCATCGACACAACGACACTGCCAGTATATCCCAAGAAGATCAGACCTCTGGAGAAGCAGGGGCCCATGGAGTCCAGGTGAGAACCGGGCTGCGTCTTCCTCTCCAGCTTAGTCGTGCTGGGCACTTGACTCAAGGGACAGAGAAGAAAAAAGACTTTGTAAGCTTAGCGACTGGAAAGAGGCCAGGAATCACGTTCTCCTGGCTTCTTTAGATATTTTAATTTTCTCCCATGTGTCACTTAGGAACAGAACCTTTCAGCTTTTGGTTAAGTCATTCTGCAGTCACGGGGTGGGGTGTGAGGACAGACTTCAGCAGACTTTCACTGCTTGTCTTGGAAGTTTGTCAACTCAACTGATCTGTTGCTTAATTGCAAAGGTAAATACAGAGAATTGATAGTAATCAAAGAACTACACAGTGAATCAATGAGATACTAATTTTTTCTTGCCAGATTAGCAATATTATTTCTTAAAAAGTCAATGCTGGGAAGGGTGTAGTAAAATTGACACTCCATACCCTGTCCTTCTAGTACCTGTGTGCAGTTCAGGTGCGTGGATCAGCAGCTTTCAATTTATGAATCCACTTTAATCTCACATTCTACTTCTAAGAATCTGTTCTCAGGGCAAATGCTTAAATTCAGAAAAAAAAAAAAAAACAAAAAACAAAAAAACTAAGCAACAAAAGAAAGATTAAATCACTTGTCTAATATTTGGAAAATGGCTAAGCAAATTATGAAGTATCCATTCAATTCGTGTATCTGTGGCTATGGTATTAGTATCATGCAGTCACTAACGTGACATTTATGCAGGCATAGAGGCAGAATCTCCTGGAATATACCAGTTTTTTTTTTTTGTTTAGTGTTTTTTTTTTTTTTTTTTTTTTTTTTAAGACAGAGTCTTGCTCTGTCACCCAGGCTGGAGTGCAGTGGCACGATCTTGGCTCACTGCAACCTCCGCCTCCCTGGTTCAAGCAGTTCTCTGCCTCAGCCTCCTGAGTAGCTGGGATTACAGGCGCCCACCACCAAGCCCAGCTTATTTTTGTACTTTTAGTAGAGATGAGATTTCACCATCTTGGGCAGGCTGGTCTTGAACTCCTCCCTCATGGTCTACCTACCTCTGCCTCCCAAAGTGTTGGGTTTAGAGGCGTGAGCCACCATGCCCAGCTGCCAGTTTTATTTTTTTAACATAGGACATCAGCAAACTATGGCCTGTGGGCCAAATCTAACTTGAGGCCGATTTTGTAAATAAAGTTTTATTGGAACACAGCCATGATCATTCATTTACTTATGGCTAACAGCCGCCTTCCTGCTACAATGGCTAAGTAGTTGTGACCAAGACCATATGGCCTGTAAAGCCTAAAATGTTTACTCTTTGGCCCTTTACAGAAAATGTTTGCCAACCCCTGCTCTAATCAGAAAGCATACACTCTTCAGAAATATGACGTAGGGTTAAAATGAAATTACAAATGATTTTGCGAAAGGGTTCACTATTACCACAAGAGTTTGTAACCAAATAGAAACGGTTCTTATACGTGAAAACAAAGCAGGGATACCACAGTGTGTATAAATAATTCGTTATATGAATAACTGGGTTTAATAAAAACAGCTTCAGTATCCCTAGAACCTCTGCTTGGTTGTAGCATTTGCACCCTCTTGCTTGTGAATCAGTCCGTTTGAGGACAGTGAGCAGAACCTTCTCTGTGTCTAACTGGAGGGCTTGGACTCTATAACCAGTTAGTGTCTTTTTCAGCCCATTCTCTTGGGAAGCAGTAGCAGGACAGGGAAAAGACTGCAGTGAGGAAGGAAACCCATCCCCTTGCCCACACTGCCTCTGATGAAGCATTTACAGAATGGGGAACCCTGTGGTTCATATCATGATGTGACTGTTGTTTCTGATCTGGCTATTGAGAACAAAAGTATGATCACCTGCTTTTCTTTGAAGGATAGCAGGGTAGTTGAGCTACTCCCTATTAAGACTCTTTGTGGCTTGTTAGCCTGTGGGAACTCAGAATGCAGCTTAGAGCAGGGGTGGAGTCTGTTGCCAGAGTACGGGAAGATGCTACCTCTTTTTGACTGCTTCTCTAGATTGTACTGAAATGCAGAACAAGCTCCAGCAGCCCCTTTCTCTGTGAGTTTGCTTTCTTTGGTTTCAGTTACCTGTAGTCAGCTGCCACCTGAAAACACTACAGTATTTTCAGAGAGAGAACACATTCACGTAACTTTTATGGTATGTTATAATTGTCGTATTTTATTATTAATCTCTTGCTATGCCTAATTTGTAAATTAAATGACATCCTAGGTAGGTAGAGGAGGAAACATAATATATGTAGGTTTGGTGCTATATGTGGCTTTAGGCATCCACTGGGGGTCTCCGAATGCATCGATGGGTAAAGGGGGACAGCTGTGTAGAGAAACTGAGCCCACCCATCGTTGTTCTCTGCAGAGGAAACAGCCCTGAGGAGCGCAGTGGCTGGTCCAAGGCTCCTTGGCTGCTCAGAGCACTGTGTTCGCCCTCCCAGCCAGGCCTGCCAGACCTTCCCTGCAGAGGCAAAGGAAGGGACCCTCTGCGCTAGGTGGCCTGGCAGTTAGAATAGTGTCTTAGCTCTCACGGTGGTGCCAGCCCATGGTGAGCCTCCAGTCCCCAGCTACAATTCCTGGAAGGGACCTCAGTCCCATTAGGGGTAGAATCAAGGTAACTCTGTGGTCCTTGGTTTTCCCATACCTGTAAGTCTGCTCGCGAGGCCCAGAGTTTGGTCTGAGCAGGAGCCCTGCCTTGGCCAGAGCCCTCAGGAGCCCAGTGGCTTCAAGCAGAGCCAGCATCCAGAGATGCCCGCCCTGGGCTATGCTGCGCTCCCCTCCTCAGAGCAAGCACCCCTTGGCTTCCTTTGGCTTTTCTCACTGAATGGCTCCCAGCCCTCCCTGCCCTGGAGACTCCTTTTTCTTTTAGCTTGGTGCTCAGAGCCTTCTCCACTCCCTTCTCCTGTCCCCTCCCGGGTGACTCTCCTGGTCAGGTCCCTATTCATGTAGGGCAGAGAGAGATCTTCATCTGTCATTCTGGTCCCATCACTGTGGTTTTGGGGTTTCTGCCCTCTACACTTGGGGCCACCGTCTTATGATGGGACTTACCATGGACCTTGGGAGAACCCCCCAACCCCAGCTGTCCTGGTGCCCAGCCCCACCCTCAGTGTGAGGTGTGTTGAGGGTGTGTGATGAGGACTGTGGTTTCACTCAGCACCCACCCCTTGCCCAGCCATACTGTTCGGGTGAGTCTTTCCTCTTAAATCGGTGATCAGGACACAGTGGAAAGAGCAGGACCGAGAGACCAGTCGGACCTGGCTTCTCAGTACCAGCAGTTGACTTTTGTAAAATGGGGCCACAGCGTCACTCTCCTTGGGTCTTTGTATGGTGCGATTTAGGCCAGGTCTGGTATTCAGGGGAGTGCGCAGCTGGGCTTTCTTCTCTTGGCATCTGTACCCCTAGGAGGTGCTGCTGGCTGTCCCTAGTTCACTGCCAGCCCCTTCTGCCCGTCCTCAGCCCGGCCATGCCAGCACTCAAGGCTTTGCGCTGTTCTGAGCCCCTGCTGGGGAAAGGGTTAAGGACATCTGCTGTAGATGTGCTCCCTGGCCCGGACCTAATGATGGGCACTCACTAGCTCCTGGGTGAAGAGGCCTCAATTTCTAGAAGCCAGGGAGGGCATCTCCACTACCTGGAATTCTGAGTTTCTTGTCTGTGAAGTCCCAACTTTTTTTTTTTTTTTTTTTTTTGAGACGGAGTTTTGCTCTTGTTACCCAGGCTGGAGTGCAATGGCGCGATCTTGCCTCACCGCAACCTCCGCCTCCTGGGTTCAGGCAATTCTCCTGCCTCAGCCTCCTGAGTAGCTGGGACTACAGGCACGCGCCACCATGCCCAGCTAATGTTTTGTATTTTTAGTAGAGACGGGGTTTCACCTTGTTGACCAGGATGGTCTCGATCTCTTGACCTCGTGATCCACCTGCCTCGGCCACCCAAGAAGTCCCAACTTCTGATGCATCTGAGGAAGTGGTTGGGTGGTGGCGTCCTGATTTATCATGGTTCCTTCCCTTTTTATTTTGCTCATTTCGTGGGGTTTCCTCCTGTCATGCTAGGGTAGGAAGGTCAAGGTGATCTGAGCCTTCAAAGAGCAGCTGGGCCGAGGAGGGGTAGTGAGCCCAGCAGCCTGGCCTCACTCCCTTTAAGCTGCCTTCTCCAGTGAATGCATGAAGCAGAGAAGTGGCTTTGTGAGACCTGGGGAAGATGAGAGATCCCGCACTAAAGCATGCACACACAAATACCCACACACCAGGCATGCGTCAGCCTCTAACTCCTAGTTCCAGGTTCCCTTTGGAAAAGCGGGTCTTGTTCAGATTTACCAGTGTGGTGACCTTGGGCGAGTCACCTAACCTTATGTGGACCTTAAATTTTCTCCTCTGTAAAATGGAGATAAGAAACTACCATCTATAATACGTCATTGGGTTGCTGTGAGGATCAAATAGGTTTATATACGTAAAATGCTTAGGAATACGGTAAATGCCATATGTGCCTGCTATTGGGGTTTGCAATGGTAGTAGATTATTTACTACTACTATTATTAGATTTGATTCCCAGAAACTCCAGGCCCTGAGAAAGGCATGCTGGCTGGTGCAAGTGGAGAGTAGAAACAGCATAGAGGTGGAGCTGGGTAGCTGTGGGTTCAATTCCAGGCTCTCAAGATCTTCGAGGTACCTGGGATGAGCTGCCCCAGAGAGGGCTGCCCTGGATGTCCCTTGCTGCTCTGGCGGAATTCTGTTAGCTTGCAGCCAGCTGGCCTGGCTGATCGTTTTCTCTCCTCCATGCATCCCCAGGAACCTCTGGCGGGAGGTGACCCGATACCTGCGGCTGGGGGACATTGATGCAGCCACCGAGCAGAAGCGGCACCTGGAGGAGAAGCAGCGGGTGGAGGAACGGAAGCGCGAGAACCTCCGGACACCTTGGAAGCCCAAATATTTTATCCAGGAGGTAACTCTGCCACCTGTCAGTCATTGGGCTTTTGCTTGGGAGATAACTTGTTCTGAGAGGGTAGATGGGTTTCTCTTGCTGACCCCAGATTGGATAAATACCAGGGGTGGGGCTGGACTGAGGGCGTTTCTTGCTGACCCCCAGATTGGATAAATACCAGGCAGGGGCAGGGCTGCGCTGAGGCAGGTCGGTTCTGGCTGTAGTTTTGGACCAAGCTTCAGGACAGGTTTTCTGCCACAACATTCATGAAACCTTCCAGAGGGCAGAATCGAGTAACTGACACTTCCCCTCCGGTATCCCTCTATCAGAAAAGCACGTCAGCCTGCCAGTGAGGGAACGGGATGGGATTGCAGACAGGACACTGTTCTGTTTTTAAAAAGAAAACCATCGGCTGGGCACACTGGCTCACGCCTGTAATCCCAGCACTTTGGGAGGCCGAGGCGGGCAGATCAGCTGAGGCCGGGAGTTTGAGACCAGCCTGACCAACATGGAGAAATCCCGTCTCTACTAAAAATACAAAAATTAGCCGGGTGTGGTGGTGCACGCCTGTAATCCCAGCTACTCGGGAGGCTGAGACAGGAGAATCGCCTGAACCTGGTAGGCGAAGGTTGCAGTGAGCTGAAATTGTGCCACTGCACTCCAGCCTGGGCAACGAAAGTGAAACTCGGTCTTAAAAAAAATAAAACAAAAAAGCCCCCAAAACATCATGGCCCCTGTTACTTGATCTTTAGTAAACAAACTAGCTGTGGAGTGCCTCACAGCTCATCTGCGCACCTGGGTGGGCTGGAGCCCTCACTGATGGAGAACTGCCTGTCAGAGCTTTGCCTTCTGTGCTCCGCAAGGGCTGGTCATGCTGGGGAAGGCCAGCCCCAGTCCTGCGCCTGTGGTGCTGCTGCTGTCACCTGCAAATGGGACACTGAAGTAGAAATCATATCTGGGCAAGTGGCCAAGGCACTGCATGCCCAGCTGAAGCCCTTATGCACTTGAAGTTGTTTGTGGAGGGATTGGGAGGCATTCTGAGAACAGAACTGGAAATGATGAAAAGGTAGGAGCCACACTTCTTCAGGGAGGCGTACAGGAACCCAGCAACATCAGTGAGCAGCCGGCCAGGGAGGGCTGGGGCAGATGAGGCTCATCTCCTGGTGATCACAGATTGTCTAGTTGTTCATGAGGGGCCAGAAATCTGAATTTTTATGAGAAATCTCATATTTGCAAGGTATCAATGAATTTTAAAAATTTAAATTCCAGGAGCCAATCAAAATGTATCCGTGGGCTTTCCTTAGCTCAGGTGTTGCTAACGTCTGACTTCTGCTACCAGGGGGGATTATTCTGTCTACACACAAGGCTGAGGAGTGAATTAGGGCAACATAGTAGGGAACTGGGGTGGATTCATGGTTAAGAACAGGAAGCCACCACTGCTCTCCTGAGTCAGGAACCATGGGCTGTGGACTAAAGGTGCTTTCAAGGGAAGATGCTGGTTCAGACAGGAAAGCTGCCTGGAAAAGACTCTGCCTTGATGGGTCACTGAGTGGGGACCCTGTGTGGGGGCCCTGCCCAGGTGAGGTAGAACCTCAAAAGATCCTTCTGTGAGGTGGATCTGTCTTCTCTCCAGTCTGGCTTCTGTGGAAGGTTGTGCATTAAAAAACAACAACAAAAAACATTTATAGTTCTTCTTCCTGAGTTTAAGAAAAGCCAGTATGTCCATATCAGAAGGGCTGGGGACATGTAAGCACTAAGAGTCCTCTGAATACCAGCATGGTTATCATTCAGTATAGCCTTCTAGTCATAACCAGATGGTATGTATTAGTACTGTTTTAAGTCTTGCCTTTCTCTCACTTGATACTTGATTGGTGGTGGTTCCTGTGTGTGCTGATTTGTTTGGGACTGCGCCTGCTGGAGAGTGCCTTTGCTGGGTGTTGCCCTCTGGGCTGGGGGCTGGGACTCAGCCCCTTGCCTTGTCTTTTTCCTGGCCATTCATCTGGCTACCCTTCTTTTCTCTTGTCCACTGTCAAAGTGCTTTTTTTTTTTTAAGGAAGCAATCAGCCTTGATTGGTAAACCAACCAAGCCCCCCTTTTATTTTGCTCATTTCATGGGGTTTCCTCCTGCCATGCCAGGGTAGGAAGGTCAAGGTCATCTAGATCTGCAAAGAGCAGCTGGGCTGAGGAGGGGGAGTGAGCCCTGCAGGCTGGCCTGTGCGTGAGGGATCGGGACGGGGCGGACGTGCAGACTGGCTACGGTTAGCCTAGCTTCCCCTTTTCCCTGTTGAGAGGCCTCCGTGTAACGATGCCTCCTTTCTTCTCTTGCAGGGCGATGGCTGGGTATACGTCAATCCCCTCTGGAAGGCACACTGATGAAGTGGAGGTGCAGAGCTTCCCAGTAGAGCCCTGCTTTTGTAGGAATATTAAAGTAGTAGAGTATCAGGGTTTTGTTGGCATTCACTGAGACCTTGTATTAGCATCCAAGACATAACAGAGAAATTACATGCTAGGGAAAGTGCACCCCCACACTCTGCTAGAGGAACGAGTTTATTCAAGAGCCATTTGGGGCATGTGCGTGTCCACGGTACATGTTCACACGCATGTACTAGGTACACATCTGAGTATGATACATGTAAATACTACACTCACCAAGGTTGAAGTGGGTAATCATGAGCTCCTTTTTATCAATGAAGTTTGAAGTTTTCTATTTTTCACTTTGCCAAAAATGTTTTACACTCACAAAGATATTCTCACTTAGTCAACTCCTGTCAAAATGAAGGAGACCTGGCGTGGTTCGATGACCATCCATATGGGAGAAAGTGGCTCACTCCTGGTAGAAGTATGGGTGGCTATCATTTCAAAATTATTGAGATTCTCACCTCCTTCCCCGCCTGAGTGTTTCGTCTGTGCACACCCAAGAAAGACAAGCAAGTGTTTCCTGCTGGGTGGGGGTTGGAAGGAAGCTGGTAAGGATTTATGCCAGAGCCTTGCAGGATGGAGCGCCTCTGGGAGAACTCAGAGCCAAGGCCCACCAAGTACTTTTCCACCCGTCTCTCATGGTCACAGCGCTAGTCATACATTGTTGAGAAGTCACTTGTTTTACATCAGAAAATCAATCATATGGAGACTTCTTTTACGACGAAAAAGGGCTTTAGAAGTTAAATACATGCATGCACATGCAAACATGCACAACCACAGCCTCAATCTTGTATTTAGTTTGGGGAAAGAGAAGAGAATTTCCTGTGGATTTTTTTTCCCTCAAGTGCACCTCTCTGGTTGACCCAAACTCTGCAAGAAAGCACTGTGATTAAAACATACATAACGCCTGCATATGTGTTCCATGGTTTCAGTTAAATGTCATCCTTTAGCCTTTACAGATGAGGTCAAAGGAGTGACCAAAATGCAAAGCAAGGGAAAAATGAAATATCTGGTTTTTGCTGAATGCTTAATTTATTTTTTACTGTGCCACTCCAATGATATTTATAAAATCCAAATAGCATGAAAGCTTCTCTGTAGTAATACTAATTTTGTGCCTTTTGTCTGCTTTCTTAAGACCAGTTGTTCACACTTTGTAGATATTAGACAAATATATTTCGATTGAATACTTTATCTGTGTCTGTGTTTTATTTTCAGAGATTCAACATAGCTCTCTAAATGAGCTCAAATTTTTCTGGTTAGATATTTCTATTGATAAGAAGAAAAATATCTCTATCAAAATAGTATTAACACATTTTAAATTCTGTGAGATTATCAACATTTTCTGATCAGTTCATAAGAACATTGAACTCTTACCTAGTGAGTATTGTTCCATGAGCAGAGTCACTGCCAGAATTCATGATGGAAGCCTGTTTAGGCTCACAGTCTTTAAAGCATCTGGGTGAAATAATTATCTGGAACCATTTTATTTCTGACAGGAAAAGTGGACCAAATGCTGCTTTGAGGAAAAAGAAGAAGAAAACTCAATGAGACTGAAAAGTCACTGTGTTGTTGGATTTTCCAGTCTTACTCCAAAGCATAAACCATCTGAGAAGCAAAACATGGAGAAGCCTCACTATTCTTTTGGGGCAGGGAGTACATTTAAAATTGTGAAATATTATGTGTCTGGAGATTTATATAAAACAGATGTACAACTCCAGGAATCATTATGAATACCCTTGTACCCACTGCTTAAGCAAAGAAACCTGTTTACCAGTACCTTAAAAGCCACTATTGTGCCCTATACGATTGTATCTCTGTCCATGTCTTCCTGGAGTGACTGTCCCCTTGTGGCTTTGTTGTCTTAGGCTATACACTGTGTATATTTCTAAACAGTGTGATTGCTTTTACCTGTTTTTGTAAAAATGCAATCATACCATGTTTGCTTATCTGAGCCAATACTTTCTAGTTCAACCTGTGTTGCTCTATTCATTTTCTTGCTGAGTTCATATTATGTTTTTTTATTGTGGTAACATATATATAACAAAATTTGCCATTTTAACTGTTTTTTTTTTTTTTTTTTTTTCCAGATGAAGTCTCTGTCGCCCATGCTGGACAGTGATCTCGGCTCACTGCTGCCTCCCAGGTTCAAGCGATTCTCCTGCCTCAGCCTCCCGAGTAGTTGGGATTACAGGTGCCCACCACGTTGCCTGGTTAATTTTTGTATTTTTAGAAGAGACATGGTTTTACCACGTTGGCCAGGCTGGTCTCAAACTCCTGACCACAGGTGATCTGCCTGCCTCAGCCTCCCAAAATGCTGGGATTACAGGCATGAGCCGCTGCAGCTGGCCCCAATTTAGCTATTTTTAAGTGTACAGTTTAGTTGCCTCAAAATACATTCATATCATACAATCACCATTACCACCTGCCTCCAGAACTTTTCTGTATTCCCCAAACAAAAAACTATACTTATTAAACAATAACTTTCCATTCTCTCTCTCCCCCCAGTCCCTGGCAATCACCTTTCCACTTTCCATAATTTCTACTGAAATTATACCACACTTGTGCTTTTTGTGTGTGTCTTTTTCACTTAGCATTGCGAGTTCAAGGTTCATCTTGTGGCATTGTATCCATTTCTTACTAAGGGTGGGGCGTGGTGGCTCACACCTGCAGTCGTGAGGGCAGGGCAGACCCACAGACTGGCTGTGGTTATCCTGGCTTCCCTTTTTCCCTGTTGAGAGCTCTCCATGTAATAATGTTGTGGCATTGTATCCATTTCTTATTAAGGGCTGGGCATGGTGGTGTGAGCCTGTAATCCCAGCTACCTTGGAGGCTGAGGCAGGAGAATCGCTGGAACCCAGGAGGCGGAGGCTGCAGTGAGCTGAGATCATGCCACTGCACTCCAGTGTGGGCAACACAGTGAGACTGGCTAAAAAAAAAGTTTCTTTTTAAGGCTGGATAATACCCTCTGCCTTCCCCCAAAATACACATTCCTATTTTGTTTATCCATTCACCTATTGGTGTGTACAAATATCTTTTCGAGTCCCTGTTTTTTGTTTTTTTTTTTTTTTGAAAAGGAGTTTCACTCTTGTTGCCCAGGCTGGAGTGCAGTGGCACAATCTCAGCTCACTGCAACCTCCGCCTCCCGGGTTCAAGTGATTTCCCTGCTTCAGCCCCATGAGCAGCTGAGACTACAGGTGTGTGCCACCACTCCTGGCTAATTTTAGTATTTTTAGTAGAGACAGGGTTTTACCGTGTTGGCTGGGCTGGTCTCAACCTCCTGACCTCAGGTAATCCACCCGCCTCGACCTCCTGAAGTATTGGGATTACAGGCTTGAGCCACCACCATGCCTTGTCCCTGCTTTTAAAAAATATACCCAGAAGTAGAATTGCTATATCATATGAAAATTCTGGTTTGAGTTTTAAGGAATTCCCATGCAGTTTCTCACAGTAGCTGGCTGCCACATTTTGTAATCCTGCTAGAAATATCCAATTTCTCCACATCCTCACCAATTCTTGTTATTTTGTTTTTTTCTTTTGTTGTTTTAACCACCATCCTATGGCTGTGAAGTGCCATTTCAATGTGGTTTTGATTTATATTTCCCTAATGGTTAGTGGTGTTGAGCATCTTTTTTTGTGTTTTTGGCTATTTGTAAATCTTTGGAGAAATGTTTATTCAGATCCTTTTGCCCATTTTCAAATTAGGTTCTTTTTGTTGAGTTTTAGGGGTGCTTTCTGGATATTGATACTTTCTGGATATTAATCCTTTATCAGATATGATGTGCAGATATTTTCCTCTGATCCATCGGCTGCCTTTTCTCTGTTAATGGTGTCCTTTGATGTACAAAAGTATTTAATTTTGATAATTTCTAATTTATTTTTCTTTCGTACCTGTGCTTTTGATGTCATATCCAAGAAATCATTGACATATCCAATGTTGTGAAGTTTTTGTCCTATAATTTCTTCTAAGAGTTTTATAGTTTTAGGTCTTATTAGGGGGCAGGGAGTAATTTGATCCAGTTTTTTTGTTTGTTTGTTTTTGAGACAAAGTCTCACTCTTGTTGCCCAGGCTGGAGTGCAATGGCATGATCTTGGCTCACTGCCAACTCCGCCTCCCAGGTTTAAGTGATTCTTGTGCCTCAGCCTCCTGAGTAGCTGGGATTACAGGTGCCTGCCACCACGCCTGGCTAATTTTTATATTTTTAGTAGAGACGGGGTTTCACCATGTTGGCCAGGCTGGTCTCAAACTCCTGATCTCAGGCTATCTGCCCACCTCAGCCTACCAAAGTGCTGGTATATATATATGGTGATTGATAGGTAAGGGTCCAACTTCATTCGTTTGCATATGGATATCCAGTTTCCCCAGCACCATTTGTTCAAAAGACTCTGCATTTCCCTTTGAGTGATCTTGGTACCCTGTTGAAAATCATTGGCTATATACGCAAATGTTTATTTATGGGCTCTCTATTCTTTTCCATTGGTTGATGTCGATCTTTATGCCAGTACACTCTTTTAGTTACTGCAGCTTTGTAGCAAGTATAAAATTAGGAAGTATGAGACCTCCAACTCTTTTTTCTTCTTTTTCAGTATTATTTTGTCTATTCAGGGTCACTTGAAATTTCATGTGAATTTTAGGATGAACTTTTCGATGTTTGCAAAAATCTCTAGGACTCTGATAGGGATTGTATTGAATCTGTAAATCCCTTTGAGTAGTATTGTCTTAAGAGTAAGTCTTCCCATCTATTAATTAGAATATCTTTCCTTTTTTTTTTTTTGAGACGGATTCTCACTCTGTCACCAGGCTGGAGTGCAGTGGTGGAATCTAGGCTCACTGCAACCTTTGCCTCCCAGGTTCAAGCGGTTCTCCTGCTTCAGCCTCCTGAGTAGCTGAGACTACAGGTATGCACCACACCCAGCTAGTCTTTGTATTTTTAGTACAGAAGGGGTTTCACCATGTTGGCCAGGATGGTCTTGATCTCTTGACCTCTTGATTTGCCTGCCTCGGCCTCCCAAAGTGCTGGGATGATAGGTGTGAGCCACCATGCCCGGTCCTCTTTCCATTTATTTGTCTTAATTTTTTTCAGCATGTTTTATAGTTTTCACTGTGCCAGTCTTTGACCTCCTCGGTTAAGTTTAATTCCTATTTTACTCTTTTTGTAAGTAGAATGTTCTCACTTTCCTTTTTGGATTGTTCATTGTTGGCATATAAAAACACCAGTGTCACATGCCTATGGTCCCAGCTACTCAGGAGGCTGAGGCAGGAGGACTGCTTGAGCCCAGGAGTTTGAGATTGCAGCATGCTATGCTTGCTCCTGTGAATAGCCACTGCACTCCAGCCTGGGCAACATAGTAAGACCCCATTTCTTAAAAAACACACATAGCTGATTTTCGTGCATTGGTTTTGTATCCTTTGCTGAATTTGTTTATTGTAACAGGTTTTTGGGGGCGGTGTGGGATCTAGGATTTTCTAGATACAATCATGTCATTTACAAACGGATTTTACTTTTTCCAAATTTGCATGTCTTTTATTTCTGGTTCTTGCCTAATTGCTGTGGCTAGAACTTCCAATACTATGTTGAATGAAGGTGGTAAAAAAAAAGAAAAAAAAATCCTTCTTGGTTTTTGATCTTAGTGGAAAAAGTTTCAGCCATTCACTGTTAGGTGATTGGCTGTGGGATTTTTATTTATGGAGTTCATGATATTGAGGTACTTTCCTTCCATTTCTACTTTGTTGAGTGTTTTTGTCATAAAAGGATGTTGCATCTTGTCAAAATGCTTTTTCTGCATGAGTTGATCATGTAGTTCCCCCTTCCATTCTATTAATGGGTGGTGCATTGCACTGACTTTCATATGTTGAACGACCTTGCATTCCAAGAATAAACTTCATGTTGTCATGGTGAATAATCCTTTAAAGATGCTGCTGAATTTGCTTTGCTAGTATTTCACTGAAGATGATTGAATCAATATTCATTCATAATGGATGTTGGTCTGTAGTTGTCTTCTGTCTTTTCTGGCTTTGGTACCAGAGCCTGCTGACTTCATAAGATGAATTAAATTTTCTGTTTATTATTCAATCCTGGTAGGTTGTGTATTTCTAGGAGTTTGTCTGTTTCATCTAGGTTATTCGACTTGGCATACAATTGTTCATGGTACTCTTATGACCCTTTTTATTTTTGTAGAATTGGTAGTA